TCATGTCGATGCTGGTGAGGTTGGTTTTGATGATGGCGACGTTGATGATGGTGGTGGTGGTGATGATGGTGATGATGGTGATGATGATGGTGATGATGATGGTGATGATGATGGTCATGATGATGATGATGATGATGATGATGATGATGATGACGATGATGAGGATGACGATGACGATGACGAGGACGATGAGGATGAGCAGGAGGAGGAGGAGAAGGACGATGGCGATGACGATGCCGATGACGACGATGACGAAGACCATGACGATGACGGCGATGCATCTGGTGGTGAAGATGATGCCAAAGACACGACGTCGGCGACGACGGCGAGGAAGACTGCGAGACCACTACCACGACGACGATGACGACGATGACCACGGACACAAACGCCATCACGACTGCGATGACCACGACGACGATGCCCCAAACCAAACAGGACCTAAAACCGGAAGAATAAGCCGGGGCACGCATGTCAGCCCCCAGGTGCTTAGCACAAAGCTCCTCTGCCTTGGCCTTCTCGGCCTCGCGCTCAAACCCGAAGGCATGAAATCGTAAAGCTGGGGTTCAGGGTGCAGGCATCCGGGCTTAGGCTTTAGAGCTAAGCTCTACCACCCAGTCTGGCTTTTGGAATGGATTCAGGGTTTTGCATGGCTTGTTCTGGGTTTGTTGAGGTTTGTTGCGGTGTTCAGGTCAGAAAGCCTCGGCCTGAGAAGCAAAGCGCGAAACCGCGATCACCAGAGCATCGGACGTAGAGAGTTCGCGACGTGTGGGGATTGGAAACCCTAAAACCCATGACCCCGAAAACCCCTGAACCCCGTGAACTCCTGAATCCTAACCCCCTGAACCCTAAACCCCTGAACCCTAAACCCCTGAACCCTAAACCCTTGAACCCCGTGAACCCCTGAACCCTAAACCCCTGAACCCTAAACCCCTAAACCCGTGAACCCCTGAACCCAAACCCCTCAACCCCCGAACCGGCTTGGGGGTTTAAGAATTTGGGGGGTGGCTGGCTTGGTTGAGGGTTTCGGGTTTAGGGGTTGAGGGGCTTAGGGTCTCAGGAAGGTTTAGGCTTCAGGGTTTCGGGGATAATTAATGGGCTTATGGTTTAGGGCGTAGGGTTTAGGAGTCGTTTGGATTAATCAGGGGGAGTTCAATCTTTGAGGTCTAGGTTAGGGCTTAGCCTTTAGGCCTTCGTGGGTTTAGGGTTCGGGGTCAACCCTAAAACCTAAAACCTAAACGAGGGTGCTGGCGATGCTGAGGGGATTTTCGTGGAGCGGTCGGAAAAAGCATCGAACGAACTCAATAGTCGCAGCAAGCAACAGGCCAGCAAAGAAGCAATCCTCGACCCTGCACTTTAAGCTTTCGGGTTTAAGGTAAGGGCACAGTAAGTTAGAAGCATTGTGATATGCACCTTCTCGCGTTCTTTATATCAGGAAATGTAATTACCGGAAGCTCATCCCTACTGGTTCTTTAAGTAGATTCAACATAGATAATGGACCCTAAACTGTGTTTGAGGCTTCAGTGTTCAGGACTATGCAGGTCAGCAAAAGCCATGCCAAGATGTCCAAAGAAAAAGCCCAAAGAATGAGAGAGGGCTCTTGGATTTGATGTTTTCTTTTACACAGTGATCCTACGGACTGGTATTAGCGACTAGGCTGGCGGCTATATTTTGCACCTCGCCGCAGCAATACGAAAACCCAAACCCTTGGCCCCAAGACAGGGGCCAAACGGGTATTGAAAAGAGTATATATATATATATATGTTATATATTTGATATATATATATATATATCTATTTGTTAAAGAAATGACTCCTTTCTTCGCCTGCCGAGTCCAACCCAAAAACTCGTCAAAAAAGCCGCTAACTCTAATGTAAAACGACCAGAAAAAAAGCGTTCATTCTTTTTTTCTGCCCCAGTGTGCGTCTGAAGGACGAAGTCCAGTTAGTGCAAGCTCCCGCCTTCTCCCAGTGACACCCTAAACCCTACCCCTAAACCCAAACCCCCAAACCCAAAACCCCCAAAACCCCACGCGGGTGCCTGCCCGCAAGCTTGCTGCTGCAACAAAGCTGGCCTCTTTGAGGTCCTCGGAGTTTAATAGGGTCTAGGGTTTAGGATTTAAGGTTTACTAGGGTTTAGCTCTCTTGCTCCGGGAGAGTCACTGAGGCTCTATGAACTCCCTTTCTTAAGTGATGTTCTTTCAACTCACGCACCCCTGATTGATAAGCCCCGCCTCCTAAAGGTATGATATTGTGTACCGTAATAAGGCTAAGGCCCCTCAAGAACGGGGGGTGGTGTACAGTACATTATGGTAGGGTCAACTACTTCCGGAGGGGCTCATGATCTAGAACCGTTACGGAACCCGTGAAGACATGTGCGAAGACCCTTAGGAGACCATGAGCCTCACGGCTTGGATTCGGGGCCTTCGATTCTGATGGACTTCGCGGTCCCATGGCCAGAACACGCAACCCAGAACCAAGCTCGTCTGGGACCCTACATTTGGGGATTTCCGACAATAGGGGACTCTCATATATTACCCTAAAGTAGTAGGATCCTCATTATAAGGACCCAAAATAAGTTAGCCAGGGTCACGCCTATCGCGAAGACGGTCTCAACCAACATTACCCCCTGCCTACGCTCTTACACCTATACGAAATAAGCCTAATCAAATATAGCTTTCCAAAAAACCATCTTTCCAATAGCCGTGGCTAGGCTGATCGAATTTATGGGTTTTTTGGGTTTCAGGGCTTGAAAGGTAGATGATACAAGGTTTTGTGAATATAAAGTAATATTAACAAATTCTTTCAACGATTTATTGTAGAATAGATTGTATCAACTACTGAATAACATCAAGGGAACTGCTCAAAAAAAGATGTTCTTAACTTCATCATATACAACATTGTAATATTTCATTGGTTCTTCCTTGGGTTGCTCAAGGTCTGTATTATTAAGTTTGCTCATGTAGGCGCTCCTGCGATTATTACAATTAGCATTCAGAATATCAAGCTTATTGTCACTAAGCTTGATGTTTTCTTTATTGCCTTCTAACTTCACGACCCTTTTAACAAGACTGCTAATTGATTTTTTAATTATTTTAGTTCCGCAACTTCTTGGTTCAACTTCTTGATTGGCTTTCTTCAGAAGATCCACTCATATATACAAACTTAGATTAAAAGCTTTAACGTGCACTTAGTATCTTTTGTATCTTTCTCCTACCGCCTTCCTTTCTTGAGTCAACTAGATAAGGTGCCCCATATTGTCGGAAACTCCCATTTCTGAAACATGAAAGCCGAACTTTTGAGTGAACCCTCATACTCGTACAGCTTCTTTAAGGAACCCATTCTGGAATGGTGAAAAAGAAGCACTGGGAAAGCGCTGGTAACGCCTTCGCAGAACCCTGGAAGACTCTCACGAGGCCTTTCTGAAATCCTTATTGGAACCCTAGATGGTTTAGGGCCCTTGTGGAATCCTTATGGGCCCTTCCATAACCGTTGTACTTGGAGGTCTAGGGGAAATAGTACACAGAGTTTGAAATGTCATGCTTAACCATAACTATAGGTACCTTCTTACAGCCACGCCCACTAAGGACGCTAAACCCGAAACCCTAAACCCTATAACCCCAAACCCCCAAACCCCTAAACCCTAAACCTCAAACCCCCAAACCCTAAGCCCCGAAACGGCCCGAAACAGTAAGCAGTAAAACCTCTTGAGCCCTCTAACAAGTGGTCCTCGACTCGAGCTGTTGGATGAAGCTCTCGGTGGGGCCGCTCCCACCAAGGGCTGTCCAACTCTGCTTCCTGCAAAGCAGCGGGCTTTGGGGTTTTGGTAGTTTAGAGTTTCGGATAGCTTGGGGTTCTGGTGGAAAGCTGGGGATCGGTCGCAATACTACTGGCTGTTCGTCTTCGTTGTCGCTGTCGTTTTCGTTGTCGTCGTTGTCCTCCTCCTCCTCTTCTCCTCGTGCTCGCGTGCTCCTCGCCGTGGTTGGCGACGTTGTCGTAGCGGCATTCGTAGTCGCAGTGGTAGTAGCAGTAAGGTAGTAGGAGGAGGAGGAGGAGGAGGAGCTTCAGTAGCAGCCGCAACAATTCAGATAGCTGCAGTATTGGCTGTATTGGCCGTAGCAATCCCAATGCTATAACAGTAGCAGCACTGCAACAATGCAACAACAGCACCAGCCACGGTCGTCGTCATCATTACCGCCGTCTTCGTCGTTTCCCCGGTGGTGGCGCTGCTGCTGCTGGTGCTGCACCCTATATCTTCTTACCCCGCGATCCTACCTGAAAACTCTTTAACTCCAAAGCCCTGAGCCGTAGCCCCTTGAGACCCTACACCCAAGGTGCATCATCTTCAAACCCTAAAAACCCTGCAACCTCAACTCAAGATCCCAAAATCCTGCACCCGAGATCCTTAAACCGGTTTTGGGTTTAAGGTTTCTTAAACCCTCAACCCTTGGACAACTGGCTGCTCCTCACGAACTTCTTTTGCTCCTCTCCGTTGCCAACCTCGCCAGCGAAACTTCAGCTTTAGGCTTATCGGGCTTTTTTGGATGGAGGTGGTGCGCTAGGCAGTCTAAAGTTAGCGCATGGAGTGCTTCTTTCTGTTTGGTTAAAGGGGTTGCGGGCTCTGGCGGGGTGAGCCGCCGGCAGGCGCACCAGTTCTCAGAGTGGAACAAAAGTCGGCATCTACATCGCCGACCCGCTTGGCCATGGCTTCCAGATTGAACTTGTGCGTCAAAGCGACGACTGCAAAGCGAACTCAGGCGACCGCGGTTTGCAGCTTCAAAACCTCTTCATCACTGAACAAGCTGAACAAAGGTGCAGAAGCAGGTTCACGCATAATGGACTTAACCCGTTCACGAGAATCTGCGGGCATGGCGGACCAATTTGCACGGCGAACACATAGAAGAGGGTCTTCGGCGCACACCTGTTCTTGCACCGCACTCCGGCGTGCAATTTTTCACTGGCACGCAATCCATCGTGCGATACGCTCTCCGGCGTACTTCCCCGGCAACGCACTCCGGCGTGCCTAAAGCAGATACGCGATCCATCGCACTATCTGCCACGCACACCGGTGCGCCGTAAGCAGACACAGCGTCCCTTACGAGGCGAGCGCCCTAGCAACATCCAGTTAGCCCACATGACTGGTATCTTGCATTGCCCAAGCAGCTCAACACATCGCTCTCGTGTCAAAGCAGCGCAGCACATGCCGGGTGGGAACATGGGAAGAAGTCTCCTTCCTCGCCAGCCGGGTCACATCTGGTCACCTGCCAATGCTTCGCGCTTACATCCAGTGTAGGAGCGCAAGCCCTTCCAACCATGTCGTCTTGAAGAACCGCAGCCGCGTGATAGCATAATGATCATAATGTGGTTTGGTTCACCACATAGGCGCCGTGGAGCTGTCTGATCGCAGCTCCGCCAAGCACTTGAGATGCTTCACCGGCTTCCTCCAATCAGTTGAAGAACCCGAGCTGGCCCCAGAATCGGGCTCCGAGTCCGTCTCATCAGACGGTCGACAGTTTCGCGGAAAGTGACCAGCCACGGGGGAACGACAAGCTCATCGCATTGTACCTTAGGCAGCGGCAGCTCCTGCAACGGTTGCAAGCCTCCCCGCGCTTGCGGGGCCCACGGTACCCAACCGGCACGCACGGCCTGAATCACTCGCAATTGCGCAGGCAATGCCGGCAAGACGTCATCTCTGGAGTACTTGGCCACCATTGCTGCTCCAGGCTCCCTGGCTCGATGGTGACCCCAGGCTCGCTTCGCATCCGCAGCCACCTCGAGCTGCAAGGCCCAGCTCAATGGCGTGGTTTTCAACGAATGCACCGCGTACGCCGCAGCTAACCCCACCGGTACTCCAGCAATGTGCATCAACAGGCGGCGAAGGTGGCCCAGCACGTGTGAGTCGCGGTCCCAACTAAGAACTCACAAAGTTTCAGGAAGCTGACTAACCCTCTAGCTCGATGATACCAGGTGCCAGTGATCCCCAGGGTTAGGACACCGAAAAGCATTCCCGATGCGCAGCTCTTCGTCCTCCAACATGCACCACGCACCACATTGCTACACCAAGCCACAACGACTGGGCTCTCCAGCGCCTGCAGCCACGAAGTCCATCCTAGAATGGAAGCCACGAATTTCTGCGCGGCCGCCGCAGTCGGGGATTCTCGCTTGGACTCAGGAAAGATCTGGAAAAATTAGATGACCAGGGTACGTGTGCTCGGGTCACGCTGGCACCAGCCCTGCTCCTGCGCAAGTGCAGCCCAGATTTTCCAGCCAGGCAAATGCCTGCGTAGTGTTGCCGCTTCCCTTGCAGGACGCGTAGGAAAGACTCCTGTGCCAAGTGACCCAAGTCACAGAACAGCGGCGCCAGTGGCAAGCAGCTGTGCAGTCGGTGAAGCCACTCCTGGCGAACTTCTTCCATTCGGCATCTTCCTGTGCGCGTGCAGAAACAGGGTGGCTGCACGAGTCCCCAACCATGCGACCCGGGATCTTCTTGCTGTTGGCTTCGGTCTGTGCCACAATCGCAGTTGGCGACGCCTCTGTGGTTGGAAACCAGGCCGGGAGTAGACGGGGCCACGAGGACCAAGTGTCAGGCCGTTCATTGTAGGCTTGCCTGGTGCGTCACCACCCTTGCAAGGCCTGTGGTCCGATGGAATTGGACCTGCCTTGCCGGCCCTGGCATGGTAGGGGCCCACAGGTTGAAGCCTTGACTCTCGCCTCATTTCTTGGCTGCATGCAGCAGCAGAAAAAGAACGGCAAAGATTTTCAAGCATTGGAAGTGGCAGCAGCTTCTACCTGACACAAACCGATCCACGGCCACGCACACTCTTCACAAAGCTGCTGCGACTGCCACTGTCAAGCATGTACACACTGTAAGCTGTGAAACACGCAGCACGCGATAGAGAGGGTTTATGCCACAGTTCGGGGCCAGTGACATTTTGCACAACTAGGTGTCAATTTCATTGGTCCCCAAACTCTTTTGATGAATAAGACTCTATATTAAACCGCAAGGGGATTTAAGAAGTACCCTACATCGATACCTCTCCAACCCAAAGATTGGGGGTTCCCAGATCAACGTCAGGCAGGCATGTACATCTCGAGTCCTGACGTTTACGTCCTAAACCCTAAACCCTAAACCTGAAGCACCAAACTCCGGACCCGCCGCAACCCCGGGCCAAAACCCCCAACTCCTGTCCCCAAAGTGGTAACTATTCGGCCCCTAAATTAAAGTAAACCTAATGATAGTAATATTAGTCATAGTAATAATAAAAAATAAAAATAATAGCGGTAATAATGATAATGATAATAATAATAATAATAATAAAAATACTAGCTAGTATCATTGCACAATAGCGATGAAAACGAACACAGCATTATAAATCATGAACTAACAAGACGAGTAATGACAGTATTCTTATTAACCATAATCATACAGAGTGATAATAAATAGACGTAATACTAGCAATACCACTGCTAATAATTGACAAAAAAGTAGCAGTGGTAGCAATGGTAATGCAAATATTACTAGCAATTGTAGTCGTGGTCAATAGACGTATCACGAGTAATAAAGCTAATAACGAGAAGAGTAATACACCAAAGGAGGATAAAAAAAAAAAAAAAAAAAAAAA